AATTGAAAAACACTAGCATAATTAGGGTTAGGAATGTGCCAGATTTAGGCGAACACATGGGTGCTGGTACTTTCAAGAAATTATTCGCAATAATTTCTTACTAGCACAAGTTGTACCCATTTTTTGGTTGGGACTATGGAGTCAAGCCTGTGCCAAGTCCTCTTCAATTCGATCGGCCTGGTTCAAGCCCAATTCTGAACCATAGCAGTATTACTTTTTTACAGCTTCAAGTTTCCTTGGGAAAACTGGAAAAGGAGTAATCGACAATGTACCAAATATAGCAAAATTCAAGTTAGTACCTTGAGCGCATGATTTGAATCAGGGATTGATCTCTTTATGAAACATTGTGCATGGACTGCATTAATTGTGCCTTTTTCTTATTAGCCACTTGGGTCAGATTTTGTTCTTTTATGCCTCGTGAGGCCAAAAGGTAATGTCTGTTGTCCTCTTCTTGAGGATGCCACTAATGCAAGTGACATGTCCTTTTCTTTGCTCCTTAGGTGTTAGCATCTTGATTTTGACAAAGATCTTTGACGTGAAGTCGTGAACTGGAAATATATGCTCGCTACAAACCTAACAATTTTATTTTTAAGATTCAGAATCGAAGGTCATCATCTTTGTCACGGTTCATGCCTTCTTCTGTTCAAATAGTATAATTTCTTATTTGATAGATTTTTTTGATCAAGCCTTCTTGATTGTGCACTTATTGCTCCAACACTGTCTTTGACTGTTGGATACGTTCTTACTTGTAATTTGGTTACATCTTCTCTGTTCATCTAAATAGTAGCTTGAGCGAAATTCTAATCTACAACTAACTACAATTTACAACTAACTTTTTGAAATTTCCTTCCATGTGGTCTGCGCTTCATAAACTGATAACATACATTTTCTTCTTGAAAATCATGGACATAGATCTTTATTTTTATTTAATATGATGTAAATGGAATTATGAAGAATTCTTCATCTTGTTTTTTAATGAATTAGATGAACAAGTATATATTTGTCCGCTTGATAGAGTCATTAAATGTCCGTCAACCCCTATCATCAACTAAGAATTGGAAATATATGCTCATCACAAGATTTCACAAATAACTTTTAAGATCTGGAAATGAAGATCGTCATAATCGGTCATGCTTTCTCCTGTTAAATATTGTAATTCCTTAGTTGATAAATTTTGATAATCAATCCTTCTTGATTGTGCATTTACAGTGTTCATCCATATTTTGCTCCATTACTTTGTCCTCTGATTGTGGGATTCATTCTTGCTTTTTTGTTGTCTTTTTTTAATTTAAATCTTTTCTTCTATTCATGGTTTTAAATATCGGCCGATAATCCGCTATTATCGCCGAGTTATCGGATTTGGGAGCTTTCCACTAGGATAAGTATGAATTTTAATCGGTTATTGTTTTTATGGGTTTATCGACGAGTTATCGGCGATAAAGACACTTATCAGCCAATAAGGGAGCCTGAAAATATCAGCTTTATTGGCGTGAGTTTTGAGTTGAATTGTTGGGTAATGAGTTGTTACTTAGTGAGTTCTTAAACGCGACTCAACCTGCTTTTGTTAATAAAATGATGTTTCTAACTTCAAGTCCAGTCCTAATCCTTCGTGAATCTCTCTCCATCTCTGTGATGTTGTTCTTTGAGCCTCCAAGCCTCTTCGAACTCCATCGAGCTCAAGATCTCAATTCCCCTCTAACTTTGTGGACCTCGTCGCTCGCCTCCCCGACCTCGAAGCTCACGTTCGCTGACGTCGCTCGCCTCCCCAACCTCAAAGCTCACCTCCGCCAATGTCACTCGCCTCCCCAACCTCGAAGCTCACCTCCGCTGACGTTTATATTTCATTAAGAATGATTAGATTATATTTATTGGTTATTATATTATATATATACACCATCCAGTATATCACTCCGATAAATACTACTTATCCCCGATATATCCGCGATATATCCCCGATTTTCGCTATCCGATAAGGATTTTGACCGTCCGATAAATCCCTAATAACTGATATTTAAAACCTTGCTTCTATTAATCTTAATGATAGTTTTTTTAAAGGAAACTATGATTGAGAAGGTTGTGGGATGGATTATATTCTTTAACAATATGCTTCTTCTTTCTTAGTGAGTCGTACTGCATTTGAATTATAATGTTATTTCGTCTCTCCAATATTATCTTCCGTCTCGCTATAGTTAGTAATGTATAGTATGATCAATGTAAATGCTGTCTCGCTATAGTTAGTAATGTATAGTATGATCAATGTAAATGCTGTCCACACGTGTTTTTTGATTTCTCTGAATCTATTTTCTGTTTAGTTGTAGTTAGTAATATGTATGTTGTAGTGTAAATCTGTGTGAATGCATGTGAATGCATGTGTTTGGTTATGTTGACATTATGTTATTATTTGATCTCTCTTATTCTATCTTCTGTTTAGTTTGTAATTAGTAATGTGTAGGGTGTAGCATTACTCATTTAAATGCATGTCGATACTTGTCTTCAACAAGCCCACACATACAGAATGTTTTCTCACTCCTGTGCTTGTAGCTGATTGTTTGTTACCTTATTATTTCAAAAGGTAATGATCTCAGCAAAAGAGGAACCAGATCGTATGATTTCTCCTGCAATGGATGGCCTTCTAAGGATTCATAAACGAGTAATTGATGGTTTAGATGGGGAAGCAGGGGCTCCACAAACTGGTGGCAATCCGGCAGTAACAAGACTGCTTGCAGGAGCTACTCAAACAGGAACCTTGATAGGAAAGCATGGATCGACGATAAAATCCATTCAAGAAGCTTCAAACTGTATTGTTCGTGTTATCGGTATGTTTAGTCATGACTTGGTTCTGTTTTGTTTTATTTTTTATTCCTAGAATCTATTTTTCCCGATGAAATAAGTCCTTCACTTTTCACCTTGCTTTGTCTACATTTTCTCCAAGACAGTGTATTATTATAAGTCAGTCGTTATCATATGTTTAGTCATGGCTAAGGGAATGTTTTGAGACTAACTTCTCTTTCATATTATGACCATTAATATTTTTCACCTGCTGTTGCTTTATGGGACATATGTTTGGTCAATTTATAGGTTGACAAAATCAGTAGAAGGCTATCCTAATCATTTGAGCGAGTTGAAATGATGGAGGCAGGCTTTTCTTGAGTACTTGCTCTACTGGTGTTTAGTCTATAATACTAGCATTTCTATAATGCTTCATCTAATAGACAATGAGTGCTTCATAAGTTAGTGGTTTTCTGGTTATCATATGATGAGGTTTCTGCACCTTCAACAACTCTTTTTCTGCAGTTTCGTATGTTGACCAGGCTCACTGCCACCTCAATGATACCATGCTCTTCCTATGTTTTATTCTTCTCTTTTAGCGTGTCACATCTGGTGACATTAGATGCTAGTGACTGAAAGCTAGGAGAGAAGCTAAAAGGGGACTGTGCAGACGCAACAAGACGGAAATCCAGTTAGCATTTGCCACTAGAGAAACATAATAAAAGAAATTGAGAAAAAGTGATATCTATGTTTTTCTTCACCTTATCTCACTCCCTTTCTTATATAAGCCAATAATAGCCGTGACATAGGATTACAGGTAGCAGAGTTAAAACAGAAATAGCAACTTATGAAAGGGGTAAAAACGGGGAAAAGAAAAGAGGAAAACGTAGGCCATATTTTCTTCCTCAAGGAAATCCTAGGAAGAGTCTTATTTTCTATATTTGTGTGACTATGGGTATCTCTGTATTTTGTATCCATACTAACACCATGTTCTGTGACTAGTATAATTATAAACACTAAGATCCGGAATCACATGCATGCGTAGTTGAATAATTACTCTTTAAACCTGCCCGCCCAATGATTTCAGGTTCCAATACTCCTAACTTGCCTTGCGGCTCTCGTGATCATCTCATGTTTCTTTGTAATTATCTCGTCATTGGTGGTGTCTTCAACTGATCCCTTTAATGGACACTGCTGATCACTGTTTCTCTCTTTATCTCTTCCTAAATTTCCTCGAGGGAGAAATATGGCCCAAGCTGTCCTTTTCCTAAACCCCTTTCTAAAGTTGCTATTTGTGTTTTAACTCTACTGCCTATAGTCCTACGCCATGGCTATGATTGGCTATCTGAAGAAGGGAGTGAGATACGATGAAAAATATAGAGATCTCTGTTTCTCAATTTCTTTTATTATGATTCTCTAGTGGCAGATGCTTACTTGACATCCTGCCTTGCTGCGTCTTCCTGGTCCTCTTTTAGCTTCTCTCCTAGTTGTAATACATTTTCTCTGCCAGCTTGAGGCTGCCAGTCCCATAGATGGCAATTATTAGCTATGTATATCAGTTATCACCGTGCTGAAATCCATAGGATGTCTTTTGTGTCTAGCAGAGTTTCAATTTCCTGGTCCCTTGTCACCAAAATTCGAGCTCGTAGACATAAATCAGCCGTGTTGAGGTTTTCGTAGGTCTGGACTAAGAAAGCTTTCTGTGTCCCCATGCCATTGAGGTCTGCATACCCTACAAGTAATTAAGAGAAAAGCCAATTTTATTTAAAATTTTATGGAAAAAAATCTTATAGCTCAGGAAAATTAGACAAAATCCAAAAGTTTGAAAACATTGGATATTTATATGCTGGCAAGTGACAATCTTCATGATTTTCTTGGAACAGTGAGATGAAAGACTAACTTATTAACTTGATTAAATAGCAAGCAAATTATTTGCTATGATATAGTGTAGATTTTAAACTATCAATTCTCTTTATAATATGAATTGCTATAATGAAATTTTGTCTTACAATTCTCTCTCCTAAAAGAGAATAATAATAACAATAATAATAAGCCTGGTGGTGAAGAGATGGGAGTTGTTTGGGAATCTGAGGCTCAAGTCTGAGTCCTTTGTTCCACAAGAAAGAAAGGTTAATAACACGTAAGACAATAAATAACAATTTATATTCAATTAATTAATAGGGTTTAATAACTAAGAGGCAGGGTTACAATTGGAGGTTTATTTGAGAACTTTTGTGAAGGTTGTTCAAGGGATTAGTCCTAGTGGCTCCTCTCCAGAACAGAAAAAGGGATTTGGAAAAAGAAAGGAGGAAAAAGGAAGTGATAAATTAACGGATAGTGCAACAAGCTATGGTGCACAGGTATGGGTACCAGTATGGATACGAGACATGGAAAATTTGTAAAAGGTCGGTAGGGGAACACTGCTGAATAAATATTTATATACACATATATAATACGTTGGAATTAATAATTTATTAATTTATATGAGAACAAAGATGAGAATTAAATTTCCTATAACATTATTATGTTTCTTTTATTATGTGGATTATAAATTAGAAAAATACTCGTTTCTAGACTAGATATCCAAATGACCCTTTATAATCATAATCCTGAAGCTGACCTATGTCAAAGAAGTTTGAAGAAGTGGAGGATATATGTCCAAAAAATATATGACAAGCGTTTTAAATTCAAACATGTATTATTTAATTGAGTACATTCCTGAAAAATGTATGCATATATGCAAGGAGTGTCCAAGGTGTTTGGGTATGGGTACGTGTGCGTGTCGGGTATGGGTGCAGCTTCAAATTAGAAGTACCCTGGTAACATGGGCAACAAGTAAATACTTATCCTATAAGACTGCGAAGGTTATTGTAGCTCTCCTTTATGTTAATTGAGAGTGGATAAACTATTGTTTGATGTTACGCGGCTTACGCCTTAATTAATTACAGAATTATTTTGACTTATTTGCTAATACATGGTGCTTGTGCAGATGATGTACCGCCTTTTGCTTTACCAGAGGATAAAGTTGTTGAAATACAGGGAGAACCCGCTGGAATGCATAAAGCATTGGAACTAATTGCTTCTCATTTAAGGAAGTTTCTTGTTGATCAAAGTGTGATTCCAACATTTGAAATCAATGTAAGTTGTCCTTTTATTCCCCTTTTGACTTCTGGCAAGCTCGCTTCTTTTACTGGTAATCATCAATCTCTCTTGCAGATGTCAAGGTCTATGTCGCAGGTGCAGCAAAATATGCCACAGGCTTGGGGCCCCTCTCACCCTCAAGGTCCTCCCAATCCTGCAGGTCCGGGTTTTGGTGGAAATCCTCAGTTTATGCCTCCAAGGCCACATGATAATTTCTATCCTCCCCCTGACCTGCCTTCCTATGAAAAGACACCACACTATGGTATATCGACATTTGGCCGAGATGTACCACCCATGGGTCCTCCATCAAGTACTCAGCATGGTCAACAACTAGTCAATCAGGTATTTCTTTTCGGGGTTAGTTTGCTAATACATGCTCTATTCTATGGTGGTACAACTATTTAGACCTCAAACACTATTTTATTTGCACTTAACACAATTACACCCCTGAAACTTAGGTTCCTTTTTGCCCTCAATTTAGAGAGCAAAAATTAGTCTTATACTGGTTAAACTAAAAGCAAAAAGTGATACATCATCATGGGATTCCCTCATGACGTCTCTACCAAACAGGAGACATAATACTATCTGGAGTTCAGGGGAGTAAGTGCTAATAAAATAGCTTATGGGAATAAGAGGCTACTGCCTCATAGTATAGGGATTATAGGGAGGTGTATATGCAATAAGCTGTTCATTTTATTACTGTCGAGAAACTTTAGAAAGAATTATCACTTAAAACATTCCATGTATGATTGTACTTGATTGAACCTGATTGAACCTGATTCATTGGTGGTGAATCTTAAAGGTGACGCAACACATGCAAGTTCCAATATCCTTTGCTGATGCTGTGATAGGGGCGTCAGGTGCAAATATTAGTTATATCCGTCGAGCCAGTGGGGCAACCATCACAATACAGGAAACAAAAGGCGTGCCTGGAGAGATGACTGTTGAGATTAATGGGAGTGCTACACAAGTTCAAACTGCTCAGCAATTGATACAGGCATGTTTTATTATTATTATTATTATTATTTTATCCTTGCAGTTTTCTGTTCTGGCTCTTATTTTGCAAGCTACCTCTGCTGTCATATGCCTTAAATCATGCTCAGTTATTTTAGTGCTTCCATGTTTGTCAGTGTTTCATGTTGGATGGGCATCAATGCTTGCCTTGATGCTTGACATCCTGGGTTAGATGCTACGAAATTAGTGTCGCGATTGGAGTCTGTACATGCCTGGCCTCTTTTGAATGGTGGAATATTGTGATATTCTTTCTTAAAATTTTAAGACAACGCAGTTCCTAATTTATTTAATGTAAAATTATTTATCATCATTCTATGAGATAATTCTCATGGTATGTTATTACTTTCCATAGTATGACTGTCTTCTGATCGTCTTTTCAAAGAAGCTTAATGTAAAAAAACACTCGTCTTCTGCTTCCTTCTTCCTTTGTTCCATCAGTTTTTGAGCTGCAACGACAGCATTGGTATCTATTGCTCTGCCACTGTCATGCTCCTTCCAGTGTCATTTTGTCCCCAAAGTCTTCTTTATTTTCATCTTTTATTAAAAAGGTTAATTGCATGTACGCTCCTGAATTATGATGGCGTGGCCAATTAAACCTTCTTAATTATTTTTTAGCACTTAAACCACCTGAATCTCAGGGGTGGTACTTTTTCCCCTAATATAGAGGGCACTCAGGGCAAAATGTAGCACCTAGTATTTCCCATGTGACATTTAAACCAAACGGTAGAAACATTAGCATCTGACATTCAAGGGGTGCAAGTGCTAATAAATTTGTTTAGGGATTAGTGATTACACCCTCATAAGGTTTCAAAATTCCGTCTTTCCTCCTGTGTATCATTCAATTTGTAATGCTACTGACTGAAACAATTGTTCATTTTACTGCAGAATTTCATGGCTGAAGCCGGTGCCCCATCTCAGAACCCAGCACCACCTGTTGACCATGGTTATAACTCTTACCAACCATCTTATGGATCATCATACTCTGCCCCACCTGTCAACTCTGGTCCAGCTGCTCCCCCTGGCGGAGGTTATGGATCCTCATATGGCTCGAGTTATGGATACTAGAACATTAATTGTGGTTGGATCCAGGTTCCTAACAGTATAAATCTAGTGTAAAACCTAAACCTAGAACCCTAGATGAACATTAGGTTTTTTGGGTTAATGGGGACAATGTAGAGCAGTTGTGGCTTGAGAAAACTGTGTTTTCTGTAACTCATTGAGTCAATTTCATTTAGATGTTCTGCTACCTTCTCTATGCTTTGTATTGTTCTTATCTTGCTCTTTAATCCAACATTTTGCGCCATTCAACTTTGGCTATCGAGTATCAGTTGGTGATATGAAATTGCTTGATTTCTCATCCGCGGGTATGTTTCTGATTTGTTCCTCCTGCCCATATGGGGGAAAGATTGTGTAGATAACTAGACAGGCGTTTGTTTTCGTATGCGGTCGTGGGTTGCAAAAGAAGAAAGCTTTTAAGAGTCGAAGCTTTCAGATCCGTAGGTGATCAAAGTAATTGTTTGATGAACATCTATTTGACGTGCGTTTATTTGATCCTTGTTTTTCCATGTTTTACTATTTGACATTGTCTCCTGATTTCACGTGACGTTGATTTATCTATTCATTTGAATTGGACATTTTTAACCAGCCTTAAGAAAGCACAACCTGATCGGAGTCAATAAATTTTTATTGAATCTGAAAGCAAAAGAAGCCGTGTACTGACATTCGTCAAAGTCTGCTATTAACCTTTGATTGATTATGCAATTCAAAAGCATGCCAAACGCTGGAACGGACCTTTTCCACGTTGCAGTTGCATTATATAAGCCTAAGAACCTCGGCACATTCTGCCATCCAACTGACCCATCATCTCCTCTAACATCCTCTCAGTAAGAGACCGACAAGACCGACAAGTCATCAGCTGCAACCGGAAATGAGTTCATTCTTCGCGAGGATTCTGCTCGTGTTTCTCGTGTTTTCGAGCTTTAACGAAACGCTCATGGCTGCGAGGCTCATAGACAACTGGTGGTCGGAGAACAGCGGGCTGCTGATGGTGTCACTGCCGAAAGGCCGAGTAACACCCTCGGGGCCTTCAGGGTGTACTCACAATCCCCATAACCATGGAGGTCCTTGTCCTCATTGAGGAAAAATCAGCAGATGTTAATATGTCCTTTTGTTTTTGTTTTTCTCCTCTTAAAGATTGGAGAATTTGTTTTCACGTAATGATAGGTGCTTGTATACTCGTTGTTTTTAACAAAGGATTATTTATTCTTTTTCATGTTGATTTCCGTGCTGTGTTGGATTCTTAGATTTTCCACAATGTAGGTTGCGATAGAGTTTTTGTCGAAATGGATATTCATCATTTCGCAACAGTCGTTGACGTCATAAATAATGATAAACAAACGCTTATGTTGAGTGCATTTTGTATTTAAAATTAATCCATCTTGTAATGAAGAAAAGGTCTATTCAGCATTAATAGGGTTTTTTTTTCCCGTGGAAACCACCTTATATTTATGGTCAATTTATGTAAATAGCATTTTATTTTCAATTTATACCTAAACCGCATACACATTTTTTTTCCTCCAATCAACCATTTGACCCCGATTTGCTGCTAAAATTTTCTTGCAATGCGAATAAACATAGAACTTTATTTTCAATTTTAAGTTTCCTGCTTGGTTTTGAAAACCGGATAAAAGGTGATGAAAACGTGGTCAGAGTCCACCGAGGAGAATACCAAACTAGTCAAAATTGACATATTAATCCAGCTCCCTAGATATTATTATCTATTGAGCCCACCAAAGTACATAATGCAACAAATTCCTTACACATTTATGATTCTACTCGTGGTAGTTGTACGAACCGATGTTGTTGTGCGTACGACTTTTTAAATTTATTTTTATTAATCGAAGTCTTTTTAAGTATATTATGGAGTTTATTTCCGTGGACAGTCAAACAAAGATTTTGTTCTCCGGTCTTGGGTCAGCGGTATGAATTTGTAATCTCCCACTCGCTTTCGGTTTGTTGAAACCCGGGTACTAATGCGAGACTTTGTGACTTGGGGTTGCTTGCTAAAACTTAGGATCCTTGTCCAAGAATCCTATATTCTAAGATTCGGATTAGGATTAGAATATTTCGCTTTAGGGTCTTCGCTTAGGGCTTGTTTGGATTGAGGAGAATGAGGGTGAAGGGAAGTTAGGGGAACCATTCACCTTCATTCACCTTGTTTGGGAACACTTAAGAGGTGAAGTTAATTCACCTCCATTCACCTTGGTTCACCCCCTAGTAGTATAAAAATTATTACCCCCCAAATTGGGGTGTAACCAAGGGGAAAGGAATTCCCTTCCCTTCCATTCACTCAGTTTCCCTTAACTTCCCTTCACCCTCTACGAATCCAAACAGACCCTTAGGGTCTTGGACTTTTTGGAAGGAGTTTTAAACTTTTAAATAGATTCTTGGACTAATATAATGGTAAACATTAAAGCTCCAGATGACTAAATGATGTAAAATATTAAAGAATATTTAATTTTTAAATTGTTAAATATGTTTAAAGAATCTAGTTAAAATTATTTAAAATTAAATATATTTGATGTGAAATATGTTAAATAAGTAAAAATAATTAAGCCATTTAGTATTTAATATTTTCTTTTTTTATTTTTAATACTACTTATATTTAACATTTACATATTTTATTATTATCTAAAATATATAATATTAATATTAAATACCTTTTTATAGTTAAGATATGCTAGATAATAAATTTGGTTAATATTTAAATTGAATATATTATATAAAACGTATTAAAATACTAATAAAATGATTAAATGATATTACTTATTAAATATGTTTCATTTTATGTATGAAATATATTTAAATATTTAATTAAAAATGGTTAAAACTGAATCAATGACACGTTGAAGTTAAATCCTTAAACAGGTCCTAGCCCCATTTAAAAATCCTCAACCAATGACCCACTCAAGCGAAACTCGGATGGTTGGTGAGTAAGATGTTGAGGCTACGACGCTTGGGAATTTTCTGCTTCTTTAGGAAACCAGGCTAGTCAAGATAGGTTGCTAACGGTGGCAGATTCAGAATTTTTGAAGAGTAGTATCATCGTATAATGAATGATTTAAAATCATGGCCAGAAAGAAGCATATGTTTACATCACTAGTGACATTACAAAAATAAAAAAAAACCCATTTCATAGAAAGGCCTAATTACAAAATATATGAAGATTTAAGGAAACTACTATAGAAAAAGCATCTATTACGTTGCTACTTAAATTTTTGCAGCGAAATACTGACATTTGATGGCGTAGTGGGCTTCAATTTCTTATATGGGCCTACGTGATTGCATAGTTTGCGCTCACAGAAGGAACATTAAGATTGGCAAAGGCAGGCCAAATTCTCTTTAGCCAGTGTTCTGCGCTAAAGACTTGAAGCTTAGATGAAGATCAGAGTCCTCATACATCATGTGAGCATCTGTGGGTTTACTTTGGAGATAATCTAAGGGTGAAAATATGTTATTGTTACAAGACGAACCGTGAGCTTGAAGTAGTGTATTTGTGAATTGTTCCCTCTCGCATTTGATGGCGAAACGCGAGCATCTGATGAATGGTCGTATTTGAAGTGTAGTGCCACAAACCCCCTAGTTGGAAAGATAGAAAGGACACGGAAGGTCAGCTGGTTTGTATACTGTAACTGTAAATGCAATACGTGTCGTACGCAACATTTGTTGCAGGAAATTAACTCTAAACCCATCATTTAGATGCGCGAAACTTTTAAGCAGGAAATATTTTTTTCCGAGTCAAAAAAAAAAAAAAGTTGGATTCGCGTACTTACAAAAAATGTATATTTTTCCGTCACAAATGATGTAATCTTTTCCTATGAAAATACACTTATAAATACCATTTTCAACTCTCTTTCTACCGACCAAACGATGGAAACAGAATGTGGGCGGCGAGACTTTTTATTTTTATTTTTATTTTTGAACCGTCATCGTCTCCCTCCATTTATTGGATCGGGTTGAGAAATTATCTTCACTATCACTCTCTGGCTCCGAATTCCTCACCTAAACTCTCTCTCTCTCTATGGCCTCTCTTTCTCTCTCCTCAAAAACCCTAAACCCTCTCCTCCTCTCGCATGCGCTTACCCCCCTCCACTCGAAAAACCGCAGCTTTCTTCATCAAAATCTCCCTCCACAGACCCCAAAACCCTAGACCCTTCTCCTCCGACCAAACCCTAATCGCCAAATTCTCCTACGCCGTTAACAGATTCTCCCAAATCCCACCTCCGGTTTCTCCCCAAATCAGCTCCAGACCCCAAAACCCATTTGAATTCAACGCCCTAATGCAGGACTTCGCCCTCTCCGGAAACCTCAGCCAGGTCCTCAGAGTATTCAGGGAAATGAAGTCGCTGCATTGCAATCCTGATCTCGTCTGCTACAGTACGATGGTTGATAGCTTGGTCGCTGCTAACCGGCCGAGAGAAGCCCTGGCGGTTTTCGCTGAGGTGATTGTTTTGGGCATGGGCCCTGATCTGGCTTGCTTTACAATCTTAGTGAAGTTGTATTCTTGCTGCTTGAAAGAGTTTGATGTGGCTTACGAGATAATGGGTTGGATGGTTAAGTGTGGGACTGATCCCGATGTTGTCACTTACTCGACGCTAATCGCGGGGCTGTGTTGGGATTGTAGAGTTGAGGAGGCATTGGGGGTTTTGGATTGGATGTTGGAGCTGAATTGCGTTCCCAATGTTCATACTTGCACTCCCATAGTGCAAGCTTACTGTTCTATTGGAAAACTTGATAATGCGAGAAGGTTCATGGGTACAATGGAGAGAATTGGGTGTTTGCCTAACATAGTTACTTATAATGTTTTGATTGATGCGCTTTGTAAGATGGAGGCTTTTGATGAGGTCGAGAGGGTTTTGGGCGAGTGTAGTACGATGAAGGGTTGTGAGCCTGATGAGGTCAGTTATAGTGTTTATATGGATGGCCTTTGCAAGTCGGGTATGGTTCGTGAAGCATTTGAGGTGTTAGAGGTTATGATCGAGAAGGGTTTGAGGCCGAATGCGGTGACTTTGAATATACTTCTTGATTGCCTTTGTCGGGGTTCGAGGGTTTGGGAGTCTATGTGTTTGTTGGAGAAGAGTGCTGAGTTGAAATGGGATGTCAGTGTTGTCAACTATAATACTGTGATGCGTAGGCTTTGTGATGTTAGAGGATTTTCGGCTGTTTTGAAACTCTTTAATGATATGCTGAAGAAGGGTATTGATGCAAACACTCGGTCTTTTAGCATTTTGATTTATTGCCTTTGTAAAGCAGGGAAGTTTCGTTTGGCAATGAGTGTACTAAATAGCAAAGGATTTGTTGCTAATGTTGTAACATATACTACCCTAATTCATCATTTTTATGTGGCTGGAGAGATGGATGAAGTTTACAATTTGTTCAATAAAATGGATGAAGAGAAGGTTTCACCTAATGTAGTTACCTTCAGTATCATGATCAATTGTTTTTGTCAACAAGGAAAGTTTTTGGAGGCTATGAAATGTTTTCAGAGATCTCTTAAAGATGGGTTTTCTCCACATCTGGCTGCACTTTTGATTGATGGGCTGGTTACGGGTGGAAAGATTAGGGACGTGCTAAATCTCATTGAGCGGATCAGAGAATGGGGTCTGACTGTAGATTTTTGCATATTCCGTTCTTTGATCAGGGCTTTCTGTAGGATGGGCTGTTGCCAAAGTGGAGAGATTTATACAGTGTGTAACATTCTGGATAAAATGTTACGGAAGAGATGACACTTCTACCGTAATTGACGTACATATGCTCAATCTTTTATTCAGGAAGATTACGAGCTTATAGGTAATTTCCTTCTCGTCACTGTAATATTTGATTGTTCTCTTTATAATGTATATAAAACATGTTTGACCTATGTGTTTCTTTTATCCGTTTTTAATTTTTGGACTCTGATCAGTATGCTGATTCACATTTATTTGTTTAATTTCAATACATCCGTCCAATGTATAATGGTCTCGACTTCTAATTAGCATTCTTTTCATTTACAAGTAAGATGCTTTTTTAAAACAAAAAGGGAAAAGAACATGGAAACACTTTTTTGCCATATAGAGTTCATCAATATTTTTTCCAGAGCATGCATTTGTTTAAGCATATTGAGATATAGAAAATTGTGCCCACACACACACACAAACATATATATATATATATATATATATTATATATATATATGTATATATATGTATATGTATGTATATGTATATGTATATACATATGTATATGTATATACATATGTATATGTATATACATATACATATACATATCCCAGATAAATATTTGTTCGTGATAAGAGACTTTTGTTAGAAATTTCAGAGAGATTTTTTTTTTTGAGGGAAAAAATGGTTTCATATGTTTTGATCATAAGCCTCTTCTCTCCTCCTTTTGGCATGTATAAAGAAACACGTAACAAGTTTTGTCTGTTAAATCATATACTTTTGGTGAACTAAATCTGACATTGTGGCAGTGCTCTTTATTAGTTTGCTGCTGGGCCTTGTGCATGCTTGTTTAACCATACTGAAAATATGACCTGATTTAGGGTGATTTATAGATCAGGAATCCTTGCCAAGTCATAAGTAGGATTAAGTTTGTGTTGTATGTTTGGTTTGCTTGAATCATATGTACATTATCCTTTGGCAAACATGGTCGTATTGGCTGCATTACGAAGTTGCACTCTTGTAGACTTGTAGTGCATAAGCCTACTGATATAGGAGATGTTAAAAGGCATATTACAATGAAAACTTGAGGTAATCCTTGGTCCATTTGTACTGAAGTTTTGATTCTACTGCAGAAAATCATGGCTCAAGCAGGAGTACAAACACAAAACTTCCAGTTGACCTAGCTTGCAGCTCTCGTCAACCATTTTATGAATTGATCTGTGCTGCTCCTCTGGCGTAGGTTATGATTCTTCACATAGTTATGGATAACAAGCATGAATTTGGTTTAGAGATTGCTTGGTTTGCTGCAATTGCTGGGGTTGTAACTGCAGTTTATTCAACTTGAACATTTTCGGTAGTTGCAGGCTTGCAGCTAAATTTGGCTCACTGCAATGTTGATAAATGTAGTTATAACTGCAGCTGCAAAATGACCTCCTGTTGCAATTGACGACTTACACAGATTTGAATGTAAGTCAGAGACTCCCTATTGTAATCTTTTTGACCTACAAATGAGATTTAAATAACTTTGAATGGCATTCAACCCCCAATAAAAGTTCAAACAAAATTTTTTACCTTAAAGCAATTACACAATGATTAATGCAGTTGTAAGTTGCAAACCTTTAAAACTGAACCAAACAACTATAACTATAGCTTTATGTGATAACAATTAGGCAATTGCATTTGCATATAACTGGTGCTTTCATGCAATTATAGTTGACCAAACAACCTTTTAGTGTAAAACTTCAACTCTCAAGAGAGACATATGCTATTTTTTTGTGCATCAATGGTTGGTCTTTTACTCTCTGATTTAGTTGTTTTCTTTTATCAGCCGTCAGGTACTACAATTTGCTGACTGAATTGTTTGCCCCAGTTTGCTTGCGGTTGTATGTGATGTGAAGATTTTTTTAAGAACAGGTATGTTCTCAAAACTGGTTGATTACTGTCTCTCGTATGTTTATGGAACACTGTATCATTATCTGAGCCATGTGTTTGTTTCTGTGAAAACACTGGCAGTTTCTTTTTGTTTTTTGGGTGGGTGGGGGGTGGGGGTTTGTGTGTCAAGGGGAGCACGTGGCCCCCTCCCCTCTACCACAAATGACTACACCTCTCTAGAGATTACTGGCTTTTCATGTGTTTGTATAAGTTGTAATGAGCCTAGCAACTTCAGCCTTTCATTTGTTGCCTTGAGACCAATAATAACTCAAATCTCTCTTAACAATATAGGTAAATTGATGAATTTCTTGTCCCCTTGTTAGAGTCGGATACAAATAAATTAGTGAACAGTTATTAGGATCGAAAATTCATGAAAAAGTATTTTCTATGTTGAGATCATATGCAGAATCAAGTAAGGAAAACATTTCAGTTATTTTTTAAGCGGTTTTATAGTTTCGAGTCAAAAAGGATTTTTCTAAACTGCTTCTATAAAAAGCATGGTGCCTTATAAGAATAAATTCACATTAAATTAATTAAATTTAGAATTAGTATCATCTCATGTCCATAAAAATATTTGCACTGATTTTGCCCATTACAGTTATGAATATCATGAAAACTAAGCTGCATAACCACATGGGAGATCAGTGGATGAATGACTGCTAAGTAACATATACCGAACCTAATGTTATTGATGGTAATGATGCAATTATGCAACAATGTCAGAAAATGGAAATCGTCGAGATAGTTTATAACTATCATTTTCATGTTTGATCACATTATTTTTCTGGGAGCTCAATTTTACTTTTGGAGTTAGGAGTATTCTTTTCTTTATTGTAAACAATCATTTTATATATAATATTTTGGTTGGTATTTTCGAGTTTGAGACCCTATAATTCCTCTCAAAGAAGAATCTTGATATTCAAATGTAATTATTGATACAATTGATTTAGTATTATTTAAGAGAAGACACAAGAGGGACCCCCAAGCTTCAAATCCTGGCTACGCCTCTGTATGAATTTATGGTATTTTTACTTAACTTTGGAGCTGATGTCACTACTTTTTTATTTGCTTAATATACTGAAAACTCTGCTACTTTTTAGAATTGGCTTATCGAGTTGGAATCTGCATGTAGTGCTAATGAAACCGAGTTTTGCTAAAAGCATATTCAGTACCTTAAAATGCACTTATACATCTTGATTCAATCAATTCTTGTTTTAGAAAATCAATCGATCAATTGTTAACACGTCCTTCACTATTTCATCTCATCAGTTCAGTTCTCTCTTTATCACATTTTCTAAAATTTGAAATTCTCAGCTCATCAGCGGTACATTAGATGTCATCTGAAATATATGAGAAGTTGGGAGGTGAGGACTTATGAAAGGGATGAAAGAGAGATTTGAGACAGAAAAATGTTATTAGGAAATTATGAGAAGTTGGGAGGTGAGGACTTGTGAAAGGGGTGAAAGAGAGATTTGAGACAGAAAGATGTTATTAGGAAATATCAGCTTATAAATGATACAAAGAATTCATGGCAGCAGATAACTATTTCCCCGATTTATTTAAGTCTTGCGTGCTTACTGTAAAGTGGTAACTGTGGATGCTTGATAGTTTTTTCTAAAATAATTATGGTAAGTTTTTTAGGGTTCCTTTTTTTGTTTTTGTAAATTTACCCCCCAAATCAACTGTATATGTACATTTACCCCTAATCTTGTTATTTGTAAAAATACCCGCGAATTACTCATATGATGCTACCGCAAAAGAGAGCACCACGTAAAATGCAATGCAAAGACAGTTTTTGTTCAGAGCGTCATCACCTATTCAGGAGCCACCATGGATGACGGTACACTTGATTGGTTTACTAGAACGGTGGATAAGGTCAAACTGAAGGTTGTTTACGTGTCACCGATATTGTTTGATCGATCAATTGATCTCAAACTATGCACCGACAAGCTACTTGAGATCACACCTCCTGAACTCCAATTGCCGTTCAGAGTAAATAAGCAGATCCTGTGCTCTATCCTGTTATCCAATAAAACTGATGACCACATCGGCTTTAAGCTCATGACGTCCAATTGGAAGAAGTACACAGCTCACCCTCCTATGGTGATCCTCTCGCCATGATCCACTTGCAAAGTTGTGGTTATAATGAAGAGCAAACGAAAGCACCACAGAACACGTAGAACAAAGACACATTTGGTGTTCATACCATTGTCACCTTCGCAGGAGCCACTGTGAACGACATTACTCGTGATATATTTTCCCGAGAGTTGGGTAGCACTGTAGATGAGGTTATCCTGACAGCTGATTATGTATCGCTGCCTAAACATTCAACTCAAATTACTGAGAGATGTGACAAGGGATCTTCTGTGGGCTTTTGCTAGTGTCGGTTTATTGAAAATTGGCAATGGCTTACTGAGGAGGAGAATGCTGCAAGCCTCTATAAAAATAAACTCCCATAAGAACTTAGGATAGCACGTCAGTGTTAGGTCAGCTATACCTGCAGAAGCAAGCTGAGGAGAAGTAGCTGATCATATGTGAGTCTAGTTTATTGTTTTCTAGACAGAGATTACTTCAGTTTGAGACAATTTAAATTTCAGCATATTGTTAGGTTACACGCCTAATAATAACGCCTCGAACGGAGACTAAATACACAAAATAAAGGCACAAAAATCAAACACAGTACTCACAGATATACGTGGTTCACTCATTCGGAGCTACTCCACGGTGCAACGACGCCGCCAAATTCTTTTATATCCCAAAAGAATAGATCCAAGAGAACACCCTCTCTTGATCAGATACACTCCAAGAACTCTCACAAACTCTCTCTGTGTTTTCTCTTACTCTTCTATAAGAGAAGTTGTTTCTGGGATGAGATTTCCTTAAGAGTTTAGGGCCCTATTTATAGTGTTTGGGAAATACTATGCACTAATAAAATATTATTAGTGGGACCCGCCACTAATAATAATTAACTAGTGGGACCTGCATACTTTTTCTTTCTTCAAACTCTTCGGCCACTTTTTCACAAATGTCATAAAAGTGGGGGCCACCTTTTTACAAATGTCAAGAAAAAGGGGCTGGGGTTGGCTGGAGCTTTCGGCTAACAATATCCCACTTGAAGATTTGATTGAATATCAAACATATATTCACATCATTCTTGGTTGCATCATCCGGATGTCTTGTATCTTTGGCGTCTTGCACGGCCTTCAACATTCTCAACGGAGGCCATATGAGGCTGCACACAGCCTCACCTTCTCGAGCGAAACTGGTTTGGTCAGCATATCGGCTGGATTGTACCTCGTATCAATCTTCACAAGCTTGAACTCGTTCCTGCTTTGCCATCTCCGTATGGCATGGTGCTTCACGTCAACATGTTTGGTCCGAGCATGGAATGCGTCGTTTTCTGACAAGTGAATGGCACTCTGACTGTCGCAGTGGATGAAGTATTTCTCAAAGCTTACTTCAAGCTTGAGAAGAAAAGCCTTCAACCATAGCAACTCCTTTGCTGCCTCTGCTGCAGACACGTACTCGGCTTCAGTTGTCGATAAAGTCACAGTATCCTGTAACTTGGATCTCCAACTTATCGCTCCACCACCCAAGATGAAGATGTAGCCGCTCGTACTCCTTCTCGAGTCTATGTCCCCGGCATAGTCTGCATCATAAAATCCCTCTAGCTGCAAATCTACCCCACCATACTCAAGACAACGGTCGGACGAGCTTCTCAAGTAGCGTAGAAGCTACTTGACCGCACCCCAGTGTTGTTTCCCTGGATTGCTCATGAAACGGCTCACAACTCCCACTCCTTGTGAAATATCTGGCCTCGTGTACACCATCGCATACATCAAACTCCCGACGGCAGATGCGTATGGTATGTTTGTCATGAACTCATGCTCTTCAGTAGTCTCTGGTGCTTGGGTCTTCGATAGCTTGAAATGACTTGCAAACGGCGAGCCCACTGGTTTAGCTTTTTCCATGCCGAACTTTTCAAGAATCTTCTCAATGTAGACCTTCTGAGACAACCTCAGCCTCCGTGCTGATCTGCATCTGATGATCCTCATCCCCAGAATCTGGTTTGCTGAACCTAAATCCTTCATCTCGAAGCACTCGGAGAGACGCCCCTTGAGTTCTTCAATGCCGGCCAAGTCGGACCTTGCAATCAACATGTCATCAACATAAATCAAGAGTATCATATAGGATTCGTCATATCTCTTGATGAAGTAGCAGTGATCTGTGTCACATTTGAGAAAACCGTTCTCCTCCATAAAGTTCTCAAACTTCATGTACCACTGTCGCGGAGCTTGCTTCAGGCCATACAAACTCTTGCGCAGGCGACACATGAGGCCCTCCCTGCCTCGTTCCTCGAAGCCCACTGGTTGATGCATATAGATTTCCTCCTCCAAGTCTCCATGAAGGAATGTCGTCTTCACATCCATCTGCTCTAAATGGAGATCTCAAACTGCCACAATGCTCAGCACAGTTCGGATCGTGGTTAACTTGACGACGGGAGCGAAAACGTCAGAATAATCAATCCCTGCTTTCTGTTCATAGCCCTTCACTACAAGCCTCGCCTTGTAGCGTCTCCGTCCATCGGCTTCATCCTTGACCTGATAAATCCACCGATTGTGAAGAGCATTTCTCCCTCTTGGAAGCTTTACGAGCTCACAAGTCTCATTCTTCATCAAGGACTTCATGTCTTCCTCCATAGCAGACTCCCACTCGCCCCGAGCTTTGCCGGTCTGTTGTACCTCCTCATAGCTCTCTGGCTCACCACTGTCAGTCAGGAGAAGATAATTCATGGTGGAAAGGTACCTCTCTGGCACCCTTAGATTTCTTGGAGCTTTGCGAATTGCGATCGGCAACTCTGCTGAATCCTGCTGCTGACATGCTGTGCATCCGGCACGTTCTCTTGGTCTCCGTCTTCTATGCTGATTGGTATCTCACCGCCGTCCTCACTGTCAGCAATATCTGAAAAAAGAGGGGGAGATAGCTGACTCCCACTCACCTCTTTGATCTTGTACACCGTATTCTCATGGAACACGACGTCACGACTGCGCACCACCTTGCGCGTATCGTGATCACAGAAGCGGTACCCATACTTATCTCCTCCATAATCGATGAAAGAGAGCTTCTTTGACTTTGGATCAAGCTTTGACCGGTCTGCAGGATTGGTCATGACATAGGCGTCACAACCAAATACTTGTAAGTGCTCTAGCTTCAGCTTCTTTCTGGTCCAAGCCTCCTCAGGTATCCCATAACTGAGAGTCGCAGATGGCCCGCGGTTGATCAAGTATGCAGCAGTATTGACAGCTTCGGCCAAAAAGTTCTTGGGCAATCCGGAGTGGATCCTCATACTTCTGACGCGCTCCAAGATAGTGCGGTTCATGCGCTCTGCCACTCCGTTGTGCTGAGGTGTGTCTGGGACGGTCTTCAGTCTCCGAATCCCACGGGACGAGCAGAAGTTCTCGAACTCCTGGCTGCAATACTCGCTTCCATTATCAGATTTTAGGCACTTTAGCTTATTGCCTGTTTCATTCTCCACACAGGCAAGCCATTTCTTGAAGATGATGAAAACATCTGACTTGTGCTTCAAGAAGAACACCCATAACTTTCTAGTAGCATCATAAGATGATGAAAACATCTGACTTGTGCTTCAAGAAGAACACCCATAACTTTCTAGTAGCATCATCAATAAAAGTGACAAAATAAAGAGAGTTGAGAACACCCATAACTTTCTAGTAGCATCATCAATAAAAGTGACAAAATAAAGAGAGTTGCCAACAGATGAGACTTGCGTAGGTCCTCACACGTCGGTGTGTACCAACTCCAATTTTTACAGTTTTGGAGCCGGTCCGGTCTTGTTGAAGCTCACCTTTTTTTGTTTGCCTAAGATGCAGTCCTCACAGAAAGTCAGATCGATCTTGTTCAGACCCGGAAGCCTCTCTCCCGCAGCCATAATCTGCATCCCCTTCTCGCTCATGTGGCCAAGTCGTCGATGTCAAGTCATGCAGTCGACGGATGATGATGATGATGCTTGTCCTGCGGCAAGCAAGTGGTTGATCTTCCCGTTGGCGATGTAGAGAGACCCCTCGCGTTTGCCGTGTACTACCACCAGGGCACCCTTAGACACCTTCCAGCTTCTCTGCTCGAAGGATACTCTGTAACCGGAGACAGTCAGTTGCCCGACTGATATAAGATTTTGCCTGAGATCCGGTACATGCCAAACGTTATTCAGCGTCAAGGTGATCCCGTCCTCCATCTTGAGGGTACAATTTCCCTTTTCGGAAACCTTGCAAGGTTGATCGTCGCCAAGATAGACTGTCCCCAAGTCATTCTTCACGAACGATGAAAACAGCTTTTGTTGTGAGGTTGCATGGAAAGGTGCGCCAGAATCGATGACCCATGCATCGCTTTTGTCTTCGAGGGATAGGAGAAGCGCATTCAAATCCGTCTCGTGCATAAGATTGGCTGCACCGTCAGCCTGATCATCCCCTGCTGATGCTGGAACAGAAACTCTGCAGTCCCGTGCAAAGTGACCCTTCTTTTCGCATCTGAAGCACTTCCCTTCACCGTAACCATTCGGGTTCGGTCCTTTAGACTTCCCTCTGGATTTTGATTGGCCTCGTCGTCCCCCACCCTTCTTCTGCGCATGCCCTCGTGCTTCGACATGCAGAGCACTCCCACTGCTAGAAGCCTCAGTTCCTGAGACTTTGCGACGAGATTCTTCATCCAGAATTGCCTCAATCACCATGTCGAGCTTCATCTTGTCATTGCCATTGGCGTTGCTCATCGCCATCACCATATTCTCCCATGAATCTGGTAGATAAGAAAGTAACAGAAGAGCTTGGATCTCGTTGTCGAACTTTAGATCCACTGCAGCAAGCTGTTGCACAACAGCCTAAAATTCATTCAAAAAGTTCGCCACGCGAGCTCCTTGCTGCATCTTCAGATTGAATAGCTTCTTCATCAGGTACACCTTATTTGAAACAGACGGCTTCTCATACAGAGCCTCTAGGGCCTCCATCAACTCCTTGGTGGTGGTCGCATGCGAGACGTTGTAAGTCATGTGCTGGTGAAGGTTGAGCCTAATGGTGGCAAGTGCTTTACGATCGAGCACCTTTCACTTATCGTCGTCCATCTTCTCAGGTTTCCCCGTCTCTCCTTGGAGGGGTAGGAAGAGATCCTTCTGATACAAATAGTCTTCTATTTGCATCCTCCAATACCTAAAATTTTGGCCGTCGAACTTCTCAATTCGAAGCCTGTTGTCTTCAACTGTAGATCCCATGGCGAATAGTGCCGTATTCGTGAATAGTATCGTCTTTCCCGTATTTGTGAATAGTATCGTATTCGTGAATAGTATCGTATTCGTGAATAGTGCCATACACGTGAATAATGTCCAATGCCTTAAAAGAGTAAATAATAATCTAACTTATTTTCTGATGTGGGGGATTCACTTTTAGTGCCAGCCACAGAGCATACGATAAGCAGATATATTTACTCTAAGTTAGGCTCTGATACCAGTTGTTAGGTTACACGCCTAATAATAACGCCTCGAACGGAGACTAAATACACAAAATAAAGACACAAAAATCAAACACAGTACTCACAGATATACATGGTTCACTCATTCGGAGCTACTCCACGGTACAACGATGACGCCAAATTCTTTTATATCCCGAAAGAATAGATCCAAGAGAACACCCTCTCTTGATCAGATACACTCCAAGAACTCTCACAAACTCTCTCTGTGTTTTCTCTTACTCTTCTATAAGAGGAGTTGTTTCTGGGATGAGATTTTCTTAAGAGTTTAGGGTCCTATTTATAGTGTTTGGGAAACACTATGCATTAATAAAATATTATTAATGGGACCCGCCACTAATAATAATTAACTAGTGGGACCCGCATACTTTTTATTTCTTCAAACTCTTCGGCCACTTTTTCACAAATATCATAAAAGTGGGGGCCACCTTTTTACAAATGTCAAGAAAAAGGGGCTGGGGTTGGCTGGAGCTTTCGGCTAACACATATCCCTGTGTTTTGAGGGATTAGTCTTTGAACATATTTCTGCTACTATGTCATTGTTTACATTTTGACCTTATCGTGCCATTAGTTTACCAGTAGAGACTTCTTTCGAGACACACAAGCAGCGAAAAAAGAAAAGAAAAGAGAGACACACACACACAAGCAGCAAAAAAGAAAAAAGAAAAAGAAAAAAAGAGGCAAATGATCTGAACATGGTGATGAATGATTTGCATTATGCACGGGTAGGTTCATTTATATTGTCATAGTTGCTAAGAAAACTTCAGATGTGATGGAGAACTAGTGTATTAGCAGATAGTTTTACAATTAAATCTGGTTTGCCTTGCAGATAAAGTTGTAGGATCTGATGCTTTACTTTGTTTTTTTTTCTTCTCCTCTTTCTTAAATTAAAAGAAAGGGGAAAGTAGTGCATTTTAGCGTCCCTGTGAGAAATAATGTATATCTGGTCCGCCCTTTGGATGTAGCTGATTAGTTTTGTGAAATTTCCCTAAATTTTATATTTATTCACTTCTATATTCGGACAAATTTTCAAAACCATCCCTTTTTAAAATTTATTTATAAAAAATGACCCATTTCAACTTTAATTACAAAAACAGACCTAGTTGGATGAAACTGGTCTGTTTTTGAAAAAAAAATTTCAAACTTCACGGGAGTTCAACTCCCGTGAAGTTTTGTTATGAGAAAAAACTTCACAGGAGTTCAACTCCTGTGAAGTTTGAAATTTTTTTTTTCAAAAACAGACCCAGTTTCATCCAACTGGGTCTGTTTTTGTAATTAATTCAAAAACAGACCCAGTTTCATCCAACTGGGTCTGTTTTTGTAATTAAAGTTGAAAAGGGTCTTTTTTTTGGGAATAAATTTCAAAACTCATCCAACTGGGTCTGTTTTTGTAATTAAAGTTGAAAAGGGTCTTTTTTTTGGGAATAAATTTCAAAACTGGATGGTTTTGAAAATTTGTCCTTCTATATTCAATTGGCCGCAATTATCTATCTGCAGTAATAAACTCAACTGATGTCCTGTAGGATAAAATGGTAAGTGTGTATATTGCTGGATAGAGCATATTTTAGAGCACGAGTGCTTTGTAATTGAAAATTTCCTACCAGTAAGGAGGTGAAACTCAAAGCGTGATTTACTTAAAAGGGAAATTCTTGCATTTAAGGAGGTTCGGATTTAGTCTGAGGTATGCTTTGAGTGAGTACAGACCTTTCTGAGTCTCTGTGCATGTTCACGTGTTTATCACTTGTGCACGATGGCTACGGCATGAAATTCTTTATAGTTTAGATTTTTCAGAATCTTGAGATGTGGTTAAGGATGTGTGTGCCTGTGACATGTTCAATATTTGATGGTGGTTTATGCTGTCTGGAAGTCTTTTATCTTTTCGGTGTTTGTTGTCAGAACTTATTTTTTAATTAAAGAACCCAGCCTGCCAAATAAATTAACATTCAGAAAAATCAAATTGACCTCTCGGTAAGTTGATTCAATTTTTTTACCACATGTGCTCAAGCCTTTCGTTGAATGATTTTGCAGAAAAATCACATTGAAAAATCTAGCCCCCCTGGACTAGATGCAGAATGGTACCGATGCGGATTTTCTTCCTATGTTCAACTGGTGCTTTGGTGCATAGAATACAGCATTATTTACATCCAAATCAGGATACACGATCGCATATTGCTTTTGTTCGTCATATCCAAGTTGACTTCTTCAATTAAACCATGACAGTTCTATTATCTGCCTCTTCAAGCACGAACTTGAGCTTTCAGTGTTCCTATCCAAGAAGCATTTTACGTCTTAACAGGGGACTCAGCCTTGTGTCTTCTTCTATGCTTAACATGGGGTGTGCAGGTCATCATCCAATGGGAATATTGGCCGGGTTACAGTACCTGCATCATCTGCACCTTTTCTAGCTCAAGCTGATACAGCCTGAAACGAAAGTCTCACATTCTTCACGTTAGAGTCTTGGGCTGCTCCATTCCTTGTTTGAATAAGGTTTACAACCAGTACAGAAAAAGCATAGCAAAATCCTTGGAGGTCTTCTGCATCCTTTGTTCAATAACTACCACGGGAAGTCCTTGAATGATTCTTATATGTCAACACGTCAACGCTATTATTTTTTTGGTTCATGCTCTGAACACATTGTGCCTCGGCTCCTCCTAAACCCATATTTTTTCGGACTACAGTACGACGTCGCCGCAATGCTTCTGCTTTTTCCTGCCTTTTTATTATGGATCATCCGGTTTCTTTTTCTGCATTCGTTTTACCCTCTTTTTTTCCCCCCTGGAGGAACAACAAGATGCGAGCATAGAGCAAGATCCCAGCGAGAACGAAGTCATGGTTTGTCAATGAGTTCAAGAAGTATGGGCTGACAATCTGCATCAAGGAATAGATCGATCTGGTATTGGTGCTCTGCAAGTCGTTCAACATCGTCTTCCTCGATGCAAAGTTCCGAGGCTTCCTACATTCAACTCACCCTGGCGAAGAATATACAACGCTCTCAATTATAATGTTGACAAGATGAAGTGGATTCAGTTAGGAGTCACGTTGTCTAATGGCGAGAGTTCTCCTCCTGGCAATTCAACTTGAACGATTTCAATCCTGGAGCAGACAGTTGTTTGAAAGACTTTGTAGAGTTTCTGGAACGGAACGGAATTGATTCGACAAGAACCGCAAAGGTGGGGGTGAGTGCAGACGTTCTCAGCGATAGAGTACCCGATAAGGGGATGTCAAGGGCTGAAGTGGGTCACTTTTTATAGTTTATACGACCCCCTCGCCTACTTGATAAAAATTGTCTAGAAGATGCTTCTGCTGGAAACACTAATTGGTTTCTGGGACGTGTGCGATATAACTGTTAGGTTTGATGGTGTACGACAACAAGGATGCTTGAGATCGAGAGTATAGTGTGTGTAATTTACTGACGACGACGACGATTTTAGGAGATATGAAGAGGAAGTTGGCTGATTTCAATGGAGAGAGAGAGAGAGAGAGAGAGAGAGAGAGAGAGAGTAGTAACCCAACTAATTAAAGTCTTAAAACTTGATTAATAGAGAATTTTTTTCTTTAATTACAGATTAATTAGCTAATTAGGGGTAATTTCGGGATTTCACCCTAACTCTTATTTAGCTGCCACGTTAATAGCTTTGTGGCTTGAAACCATTTGAAGATTTGGACGGCACCTCCTTAACGGGAGAATAAAAACAGATAAAAACAGAGAAAATCAAAGAAAAATCGCAGAAAAAAAAAGCTGGATTAGTCCATAACTTGGACATACCAATGTGGAAATGGGAAAAGATCACCATGGATTTCGTCACTGGCCTTCCGAAATCTTTGAGAAAGAATGATGCAATATGGGTGATTGTTGATCGGTTGACAAAGTCAGCATACTTTTTACCTATCAATATGAAATTCTCATTAGAAAAGCTGACTAAGATGTACATTAATGAGATAGTAAGGTTACATGGTATACCAATATCAATAGTTTCTGATCGAGATCCTAGATTCACATCAGAATACTGGAAAAGTGTGCACAGAGCTCTGCAGACTAAACTAAATTTCAGCTCAGCTTATCATCCACAGACAGACGGCCAATCAGAACGGACAATTCAAACACTGGAAGATATGTTAAGATGTTGTGTACTGGAAATGAAAGGGTCGTGGGAAGATTATCTGTCTTTGGCCGAGTTTGCATATAATAATAGCTATCAAGCTAGCATTCAGATGGCACCATATGAACTTCTTTATGGAAGAAAATGTAGATCTCCTATTCATTGGGATGATGTGGGAGAAAGAAAACTTCTTGGACCAGAGTTGGTACAGCAAGCAATTGATAAAATTCAATTAGTTCGAGAACGTCTTCGCACGGCACAAAGTCGTCAGAAGAGTTATGCTGATCAAAGAAGAAGAGAATTAGAATTTCAAGTAGGCAATCATGTTTTCTTAAAGGTTTCGCCTACCCGAGGAGTAAAAAGATTTGGAATCCAAGGGAAGTTAAGCCCGAGATTCATTGGTCCTTTTGAAATTCTAGAGCGTATTGGTCCAGTGGCATACAGATTAGCATTACCACCAGCCTTGTCTGGAGTACATGATGTATTTCATATTTCCATGCTTCGAAAGTTCATCCGAGATCCAAATGAGATCGTTGAGTTGTCTCCAGTAGAGCTCAAGCCAGATTTGACCTATGAAGAAAGACCAGAACGTATTGTAGATTATAAAGAACAAGTGCTCCGACACCGAATAATCAAATATGTGAAAGTTCAGTGGAAGAATCACTCTGAAAGAGAAGCTACTTGGGAGACTGAAGATTCTATGCGAGAGAGATATCCAGAGCTCTTCGAGATATAGGTATGTTAAGTTTCGAGGACGAAACTTTTTATTAGGAGGGAAGAGTGTAGTAACCCAACTAATTAAAGTCTTAAAACTTGATTAATAGAGAATTTTTTTCTTTAATTACAGATTAATTAGCTAATTAGGGGTAATTTCGGGATTTCACCCTAACTCTTATTTAGCTGCCACGTTAATAGCTTTGTGGCTTGAAACCATTTGAAGATTTGGACGGCACCTCCTTAACGGGAGATATGTTAGGTGCTTTACAATATTTTACAATGACAAGGCTAGATACTGCTTTTGCTATTCACGTTGTATATTAGTTTATGCATGCTCCTCAAAACCACTCATCTACATGCTGTCAAAAGGATACACGGGTACTTGTAGGGCACACAAGATCACGGTTTATCTCTTCGCAAGGCTACATGCCCTCCTCTTGTTGTTGCATACTCGGATGTAGACTGGGCTGGTTATCCTGATAGCTCACGCTCCACCTTAGACTATGCGATATTTTTTGGTCATAATCTTATTTCTTGGTGCTCTAAGAAGCAACTACTGTTTCTAAATCATCTCCCAAAAAGCTGAATATCGTGCGTATCTAGTTGTTGAGGCTGTGGATTTGGTATATTTCGGAGGAGCTAGACATTGTTGTTCGGCATCCAGTCAGGTTATCGTTTGACAACATTAGTTACATCGATCACTTGACAACATTAGTTACATCGATCACTGCTGATCATGTTCTACGCGACCATAGAAAACACAAAAAAGTTGACTATCATTTTGTTCGAGAAAGAGTTGCTCATGGTGATTTAATTGTTCGCTACGTTCCTACACAACATCGACTGGCTGATGTATTCACAAAAGGATTGTCAGCACAGCGGTTTCTTTTCTCAAAATCCAATCTGCCCGCTCATGCTCCTGCCTAGAGTTAGCTGAGTATCAATGTATCTCATTGCCAGAACCCTCTCTCTCTTTTCTCTTTTCTCAAATACTTCTCACTGTAGTTTTCAGAAAATGTTGGCAACCAGAGAGAGAGAGGGACTCAAGTCTACGATCAATGTGAGCGTATGATGAATCTTACATGTCTTGTAAACCTTATTGCCGCGATAATGAAAATCTAATTTTGTATATGGTTTCCTTGTTAATGATAAAGGTGATTAGTAATTAGTAAAAAAAAAAGTTTTCTTCTCTCTTTAAAAAGGAAGAATGAAAAAAATATCGAAAAAAATAACTGATTGCAAGTAAAAGAAAAAACTGATTATTATATCACCTCGCGACACATATTTGTGTCGTATAAATAAAGTGTAACACGATTCGAAAGAGTACGCACATTTGTGGGAAGAGCTTCTTGACACATATAGAGAATGTGGAAAGAGCCTTTCAACATGAGAAGTGTCACGAAGAAATTCGTGACACATATGTGTCTAGAAACTCGCAACACATGCCTCAGGAGTGAGACATATATTTATCAAGTAGACTTGCCCCTTCCAACAATACTTTATTTGGCTCAGTCAGTTGTAAGCATTCAAACCAATGTCGGCAACCAGAGAGAGAGGGACTCAAGTCTACGATCAATGTGAGCATATGATGAATCTTACATGTCTTGTAAACCTTATTGCCGCGATAATGAAAATCTAATTCTGTATATGGTTTCCTTGTTAATGATAAAGGTGATTAGTAATTAGTAAAAAGAAAGTTTTCTTCTCTCTTTAAAAAGGAAGAATGAAAAAAATATCGAAAAAAATAACTGATTGCAAGTAAAAGAAAAAACTGATTATTATATCACCTCGCGACACATATTTGTGTCGTATAAATAAAGTGTAACACGATTCGAAAGAGTACACACATTTGTGGGAAGAGCTTCTTGACACATATAGAGAATGTGGAAAGAGCCTTTCAACATGAGAAGTGTCACGAAGAAATTCGTGACACATATGTGTCTAGAAACTCGCAACACATGCCTCAGGAGTGAGACATATATTTATAAGGTAGACCTACGTACTAATTCTAACAATACTTTATTTGGCTCAGTCAGTTGTAAGCATTTCGGCAACCACAGAGAGAGGGACTCAAGTCTACGATCAATGTGGGCGTATGATGAATCTTACATGTCTTGTAAACCTTATTGCCGCGATAATGAAAATCTAATTCTGTATATGGTTTCCTTGTTAATGATAAAGGTGATTAGTAATTAGTAAAAAGAAAGTTTTATTCTCTCTTTAAAAAGGAAGAATGAAAAAAAGAATCAGAAAAAAAACTGATTGCAAGTAAAAGAAAAAAACTGATAATTATATCACCTCGCGACACATATTTGTGTCGTATAAATAAAGTGTAACACGATTCGAAAGAGTACGCACATTTGTGGGAAGAGCTTCTTGACACATATAGAGAATGTGGAAAGAGCCTTTCAACATGAGAAGTGTCACGAAGAAATTCGTGACACATATGTGTCTAGAAACTCGCAACACATGCCTCAGGAGTGAGACATATATTTATCAAGTAGATCTACTAATTCCAACAATGGGCAAATTTGCAAAATAGACCGTTTTTGGAAAAAAATTAGCGAAATAGACCGTTTTTGGAAAAAACTAGCAAAATAGACCGTTTTTTGGAAAAAGAGGTCGATTTTGAAAAATGGATCAGAAAACATACGGGACTACTAGTCCCGTATGTTTAAAGTTCACTAATTTTGTTGTTAACAAAACGTACGGGACTAGTAGTCCCGTACGTTTTGACAGTAGCCAATTCCACTGCCCAGCAAATCCACGGGACTACTAGTCCCGTGGATTTTGCAGAGCAGCTAAAGCCCCTGCCCAGCAAATCCACGGGACTACTAGTCCCGTGGATTTTGCAGAGCAGCTAAAGCCCCTGCCCAGCAAATCCACGGGACTACTAGTCCCGTGGATTTTGCAGAGCAGCTAAAGCCCCTGCCCAGCAAATCCACGGGACTACTAGTCCCGTGGATTTTGCAGAGCAGCTAAAGCCCCTGCCCAGCAAATCCACGGGACTACTAGTCCCGTGGATTTTGCAGAGCAGCTAAAGCCCCTGCTCAGCAAATCCACGGGACTATTAGTCCCGTGGATTTGCTGGGCAGGATACACCAAACATGCACGGGCCTCATTTATCGATTACAAGCAAAATTTTCGCCAAAAAGATATCATTTACAATATCACAACACAAATCTCATCATAGAGTACGTCACCACACAAATCTGACGTAATCAACAACATCACAACACAAATCCAACGGAATACACATCACATCCAAAATCCGACAAAAATACACATCACAAATCCATACGATAATATATATCAGTCTAAGCTAAACAAATCCAAATGTCTCAAGTCGACCCATACGATAATATGTAGTTTAAGATAAACAAATCCAAGGTCAATAAATCCATACGACAATATATATCTTAGTGGAAAAACTAACAAATAAAAAATCCACCCCTTCCCCGTCGTCTCTCTCTTCGCACTCGTTGAGATCGTCGGCGTCCTCCTTCGACTTGAGCTTGAATATGCTCGCTCTCCGGTTGTGTGTGGGGCTGTGATGGACCGGCTTGCTGTGACGGACCGGCTTGCTGTGACGGACCGGCTTCATCGTCGTGCGTGCAAGGTCTACCGCGCCTACGTCGGCGTACATATAGAGTATCGTCAAGATCCACCTGCTCACGACCATCATGTCGATCCTCATAAGTTTGTTGAAAAGCTTTACGAACTCTCGCCACTATCCGATGCA